TTTATTTGAGTATCTCAACCCAGCCATTAAAAAAAATAAAAGGCATCTGTGGCATTTAAACTAAACTTATTACAGGAGTTGGCAGATAAAGCCAAAGGAAACTTGATACAGTTGTTTGCATGGAAATTTCTTTCACCTCATGCTTCATTTAATTTCTGGCAAAGGTTGAACTTTCTGCACATACTTGAGCTTTCCAGTATCTGTGAGTAAATGTAATCATGCTTTCATTTTTCTTTTTCTTTCCTTTTCTTTCCGATGTAGGGATAAGGGTCCTTTTAGGTGAACAGCATGGTGGGAGCGTAGTGCTTTAGAAATAAATACATTTTTAAAAGGAAACTTGCACTGGGAGGGGTGTATTTTATTTTATTTTGAATGTAGGCTGAAGAAGAAAGAAAGAAGCAGGAGCTGGCTGCCATTCAGAAAGCCCAGAAGGAGGCAGAGCTGAAGCAAGAGGTGGAGAAGCAGAAAGAAAGCAGGCAGGTGGAAGAAATCCTGCGTCTGGAAAAAGAAATTGAAGACCTGCAGCGTGTGAAGAAGCAGCAGGAGCTGTCCTTGACAGAGGCTTCATTACAGAGGCTGCAGCAGCTTCGAGACGAGGAACTCCGGCGGCTCGAGGACGAAGCATGTCGAGCAGCCCAGGAGTTCCTGGAATCGCTGAACTTTGATGAGATCGATGAATGTGTCCGAAACATTGAGCGGTCTCTCTCTGTGGGCAACGGGTATCCTGCTGAGCTGACCGAACAGACTGGAAATGCCTGCAGTGAAAAGCCCAATTTTAACTTCAGCCAGCCATATCCTGAGGAGGAGGTAGATGAGGGCTTTGAAGCTGACGATGATGCATTTAAGGATTCGCCCAACCCAAGTGAGCATGGCCATTCTGATCAAAGGACCAGTGGCATCAGAACAAGCGATGATTCCTCAGAAGAGGATCCCTATATGAACGATACTGTGGTGCCAACAATTCCTTCTGCTCAAGTGGCGAATCCACATACTGCATGCCAGAAAACGTGTCGTGTAGACCCCCAAATTCTGTGGAACTTATTTCTCCCGATGGAGACTACGATTACGACCAAGATGATTACGAAGATGGTGCTATTACTTCTGGTAGCAGCGTGACCTTCTCTAATTCACACAGTAGCCAGTGGTCACCGGACTACCGATGCTCAGTGGGGACGTACAATAGCTCTGGAGCATACCGATTTAGCTCTGAAGGAGCTCAGTCTTCTGTAAGTATCATTGGTTTTATTATCTGATAATCGATACATGCTTTCTGATTATTTTTTTTTCCACTCCGCAGCCATAGAGTCACTGTAGCCCTTCTGACAAACGTCTGTGTCGTGTAGTTTGACTGGCTTAGCGTGTGTATGGACGTAGTTGTCTGTTGCCATCTAGATGCCACTGGGGTGAGTGCATCAGAGTTAGAGGCAGCTCGGATGCTGCTTGCAGTCCTAGGCTTATGCAAGGAGAGGGTTCCGTCTCTTTTAATGCAGAACTGCACACTCTTTGGTGAGGAGCTCAGTGCGTGGCCTTGGAGGCGATTCATAAGCAAAATTCTTCTCTGTGTGTGTTCCGAGGGGGGACGCCAGATAGCATGGTGAGGAATTGATTTCAGAAAAAAACAGGTTCAGTTACGCGTGCAGGTTGCGACAGAATGGAATAAGCTGCTCGCAGAAGTCCCTTAAATGCCAGGTGTATTTTGAGATGACTCAGAGAGCCAATTTCACGTGATGGCAAATACTAGAATTAGCAAGGCAGACAACTCATACAGAAGAGCTCTTTTTCAGTGCTGTTTACTGGGTGTGCTGTGGGCTTCACTCTGACAAATATCTTTGCAAGAATATGGTTTCCTCGTCCACTCGCAGAATACTTCTGTGCGACTGTGTGGCTGGGAAAGTGAAAAAGTATTTCAGCAACGCTGACTTACTTGGAAGGAAAGTGTTGACACTACAATATCTATCACAGTTGAGGTAATGGACACCAGTCAAAGAGCCATCACAGGTGTTGGGATAAGTTGACAATTCTTGCCTAAAAGGAGAACGCTTTTAGCTGTGTCTGTTGAGGTCTCCTTCCTGTTGCATGACTCTGGGTGCGGGTCAGGCACAGAACAGAAGTTCTGATTACTTGGGGTGAGAATGGAGAAAAGCTATTACCACAGCTTGTGGAATATGTTTATTTTCCAAGACTTCTCCAAACTGTTACCCACAGCACTTCAGTGATGGAGGGAGGTAGCGCAAGGTAGCATACCCTGGCCATGCTCTTGCAAAGGGATAACTTTCCCGAGCAGCTACAAAGCTGTTTCATAGATATTTTTTACATGACGTTAGGGCTAGCGTGTAATCAAACAGTTCAAGCTGCGACTTACTACGATGTACTCCCTCCTTTGTTAGCTGGACGAAAACCAGCAAGGAATCGTGTTCTTCTAATATATCATAAAATGTTTTAGCAGAAGACTTCTCAACCCATTTTATCCAAACTCTTTCCTGAGGGATCATTTCACCTTTATTTCCTTTCTTCTGTAGTTTGAAGACAGTGAAGAAGATTTTGACTCCAGGTTTGATACAGATGATGAGCTTTCCTACCGGAGGGATTCAGTCTATAGCTGTGTCAGCCTGCCCTACTTTCACAGCTTTCTGTACATGAAAGGTACTGGGTGAATCAGAATTTGCTAAATAGACAAAATAACCAGAAACGTTTATTATCCCTTGCACTCCAATTCCTGTAGAGTTAAGCTATTTCCTTATTTTGCAAAGGGTGACGGAAAGGTAGCTTAACTTAATGTGAGCTGCTCTCAAATTAACTTACTTGCAGTGGCTTACATCTAGCAGTGTTTTTCCCCTCTGCAAAGCAAGACGAACATTTTGGGCTGCCTCTGTTTCATTTTACATCTTTGCTGGCTCATAAACAATGGAATATCAAGCATAAATATAGCAAAATAACTCTCAAACTGTGCCAGATTTTGAGGAAAGCTGATTCCTGCTCCCAAAGCCTTGTAACACAGGCAGTGTTCCACATTGCAGACCAGTTTTACTGACCTCAGTCGACTTTCATTTTGGATCCGAAAGATGCAGAGAAGGGTGTGTGTAGCAAAGAGACTCTGAAAGAATATACACAGGAGTTCCCTGGTTAAGATTCTTGGTTTTATCTTCTGATGATTGATAGTCAACTATAATCTAGATGAACCCTTGTATGATACCCGTCACTGTAGCATAACTTCTTTTCCTGGAATAGGAACAGCAGTGTATGTGCGCGCAGCTATGTTTGTGCGAAAAATAATGCAGCCGTCACTAGCACGGCTTTTACTTTCTGGCATAATCAGCAATAAGTTTTTGCGGAATGACGGCAGTGTATTGGTTTGGTTAAGGTTTTTATGACTGTGATGTAACTACGGTGCAAGGTGTGTTGTGTACTGTAACAGAACTCACAAGAAGTTTAGACCGTATAGCCACACTTTGGTATGACTGAGCTCCCGCTGGTATGTGTACTACGCTAAGTACAGCTTTTCCAGGTTTTGTGGGTTTGAGTTGAACATTGTTACCTCCCAATAACCTGGAGAGAGGAGAGAGTTTAAAGCTAAACTTTTCTTAGATTATCATTGAGATACACTGAAAGCAGTGTTAAAGATCAGATTCTCATATGCATTAAGATTTTTTTAATAATTTGTTATTTATTATATGTATGTTATGTATAAGTGTATATATAATTTTATATATGTTACATATATGGTTTTTTATAGAGATTTATTATAATTTATAATGTAAGGGTCTTTAAATTGCCAGCAATATTGATAGCCTTAAGGATATGCAAAAATGAGATCTTTGGTTTCATGGCTCAGAGCAGACTCAGTTTAAGTACGGCATTGTTGGTCAGCATCTTCCAGCGTTGGTTTGGTCACAGCTTCTGTTTTATAATACAGTCATTTGTCTTAACTACGTATAAACCCACATCTGTCTCTCTTGCCAGGTGGCTTAATAAACACATGGAAGCGACGCTGGTGTGTCCTGAAAGATGAGACCTTCCTGTGGTTTCGTTCCAAGCAGGAAGCACTTAAGCAGGGTTGGCTTCACAAAAAGGGGGGTGGATCATCTACGCTTTCCAGAAGGAACTGGAAGAAGCGATGGTTTGTTCTCAGACAGTCCAGGTTGATGTACTTTGAAAATGACAGTGAAGAAAAGCTAAAGGGTGCCATTGATGTCCGAACAGCCAAGTAGGTTTCTATGTGTTTATATGTTAGCCACAGTTCCTCCTAAAGACTTCTTGGAGCTTAATCTGGGAAGATGTTGAGTGCCCTGCCTTCAAATTGTGTGAATACAAGAAAGAGAGAGCGTGAGATGAAGTTACTGAAATCAAGTCTTGCCCTTACTTGGCGCTCTCTTCAGTCTGCAGAGTGCTCCAGAGCTAAGCCAGCGCCAAACACTTCAGAAAACTGCTGCTGTAATGAGCCCGTCTGTGCTTTCTCCCAGACCAGAGGCCCTCCTTAGTCTCTGTAATGATTCCCAAGGCAATTTGGGGCACGTTGCCAAGTCCATAGCTGCAGGCAAACCTAGAACGGAGAGGGTGGAATTAATGGGCCCTGAATAGATTTAAGTTGGCATGGGTCAAAACTGCATCTTCTGTACGCATTTACAATTTTTTTCATATTTGAAATAATTGTGGTAGTGGTAGAAAAGTCTTTAAATGCCTATATTTATTTAAAAAAATAGAAATACTAAACTTAATAACTTACGTCTTGCTAACTAAAGTTCGTTATGGCTTAATATTCTATGCTTCCTGAAGCACATATTGAAAAAGTTTTCTAAGGGATCGTATTTTTCCTTCTAAACAGTCAGTATGCTTTATGAACTTATGGATTATCTAACTAATTAAAAAATTACAGTGTGCTAACATTAGGAGACTCATTTCTGTATGAGAGTGTACCTAAGCTTTCTTCCAAGGTAGAGAAAACCAGAAATGGCTGTAGCACCTGATTCCACTCTGCTCCTTGTAATCTGCAACTATCCATTTTATTTTGTTAATTTAACAGAGTACTTAAATGAAATGGAAAGATTAGTCTTTTCTTTGGAAGTCCTGGCTTGAGCCTGATTTCAAGCAGGACAAAGGAAATAGTTTCGGTGAGCTTCCTGGCTTGCTGTTGTAAAACCAACAGGCTGCTGGCTGTCAAGTAAATCTCTGAATAGAGACTGACATTGCCACCACAATTGTTTTTGTTGAAACTGAATTTGACTCTGTCTTGTGTACCATGGCATTTATTTAGCCTATTTTTCTACTATGTTTAAACCTTCTTTTTTTGTTGTCACCACGTTGTTTCATTGACTGTGCCCTGCAGAAGTTCTTTGCTTTAAAATTGTCAGGTAAAGTTGTTGAGCCTAACTCAAACTGTAGGTTCAATCAATGACTGTGTATAAAGCAGCTAAAAGAAAGGGTACTTGTATTTAAAGAGCTGCATGTCATGAGAAATAAGCAATAGCTTTTCTAGGTAACTTTAATATTCACTGAGTGCATTCCTAATATATCACGTGATTCACGTATTTCACCACTACATATTAGGGACCCCGTTCAAATTAAATAAATCTTAGGCTGATTCACTTAAAACACAGAACGTGGAGGTGTTCTGTTGGACGCTGTTATTGGGAGGGAAGGAAGCCAAATTAAAGAAAACAGTACAGAATTACAGCTTTTTGTTTTAAATAGCAGACAAATTGTCCTCATGAGTCTGATAAGCAGAGCTCGCATGTATCGTGTTTATAGGATAGAGTTTGATATCAGAGAATGGTATAGCTGATGAGGAAGTATAGCTAGTTAAGGAAATTAAAGGTTCGGACAAATACAGTAAAACAGCAAAAAGGAAATCAAATTGATTTCTTAAGCGTCAGGAAAACCTGATGTACTACTTAAATTACTCCTTAAAATCTTGTGCTTTGTGGTTCGCAATTGTTTAATATATGGATACTTAAATGTCCAAACTACAAATTAGAAAGATGTGACTTTTCAGCAGATGAGTGCTCAGCTTTTTCTGGAAGTCACATTTGGAATTGTCTTTATGCTGACTCACAATTCACAATACAGAATCACTAACCCAGGTTTTGTTTGCTTTTGGTTTTTAATCTTCAAGAGCTTTCTTTTTACCACTCCAAAAATTACTTGGGTATGCAGTCAGCTCAGAAATACATCCATTTGCCAAATCAGTTACTCTTGCCTCTCTTGAGGTTTGATAATGCTTTTTCTTTAGTTCTTGTTAAAACAATAACAGAATAGTCAATTTAGTATAGTGATATTCATAGTAGCTTGAATATTTGTACTGTGTGGGCAGAAAACACAACTGTAGTTTGGTGAATTAGTACTGTCTGGGAAATTACACTGCGAGTCTTGCAAATGAACCTGTTTAAGGCTGACTGCTGTTAACTTTAAACTTCAGCAGTTTGTGAGCCTTTCAGCAGAACAGAATTTTCAAAATGTTGACAAACTCTAATGCTCAATCTTGGCGTTTTCTTCTTTTCAGAGAGATTGTTGATAATACAGGCAAAGAAAACGGTATTGATCTAGTAATGAGTGATAGGACCTACCACTTAATTGCTGAGTCTCCTGAGGATGCAAGGTATGAAAATCGTCAGGCCCCTTCTTTCCTTTTTTTTCCCTTCTTCCCTTTTTTTTCCCTTCTTCCCTTTTTTTTTCCCTTTTTCCTTTTTTTTCCCTTTTCCCTTTTTTTTTTCCCCCTTTTCCCTTTTTTTTCCCCTTTTCCCTTTTTTTTTCCCCCTTTCCCTTTTTTTTTTTTCCCTTTTTAACCTCTATGCCATTTTGACTTGTGCTTGTGTCAGTAATTTGTTTGCCCACTGTCACAAAATAGTCAGGCTGTGTTAAACATGTTGCATTTAACACTTTTTCTAAAGGCCTGCTGAGAAGAAAATCTTGTGGCAGAACATTCCTGGGAAGAGTCAGGCTGCCAAGGAAAATTTGCCTAGAACTTGGCTGTTACCCATTTATGACTAGCAACTTTCTGAAAGACAGTATGTCTGTAGGGAGGCAGTCATCAGCCAGTGATGCTTCTCTTGTGTGTTACCCTGCTGTGTTTAGCTGCATAGATTAAATTAAGACCCTGTAATCTGCCTGAAATAAAGTACTGTTCTTCAGGGTTGGGATCTGTTTGCCTAAGCAGAGCCTAAAATTTTTTGAGATAGAAGTCGTAATGTGGTCACTGGATTTTAGGGTGAAGGCGTGTTCGTGAATAAGAAGAGCATGCAACAGTGTCTCCCTTTCTGCTGATTTAAAAGGGGTCTTGCTTTTCATCCTAAAGGATCCATATCAAACTGTAGGGGGAGGCTGGTAGGTGAAGAGCAAGCTTGGCTTGTCAGATCAGTTGTAGTGCATCTTTTTTTAAAAAAAAAAATAAATCCCCACACTGCAGTTCATGTGAGGTAATAGTATGCTTGCCCATAGAAATCAGGTATTTAAATAAAGTGAACTTAGTAATCAAAGCTCATTACCCACTGCCTTGCTGCCCCAAGGCCAGAATACAGGGTGCCTATGTCAACATCACTTGAGCTAGTTTTGCTCTCCTTGAAAGTTGCTTCGTGTTCTGTTCTTTTTAAAGATTTAATACCTTCCTATATCACAGGACCCCGAGTATAAATTTAGCAGTACTTGTAATTCAGAATCATTCTTCATTTTTTAGGCATCCTTAAAATTACCCTTGAAATAAGTATGAGCTTTCCAGTACTCATTCTTAAGATTCTTGTGTGATGTGAGTATATTTTAAAATGATGCCTTAGCTAAAGTCTCTTATATTAGAATTGTGTACATGCCCTAGGGACCAGTAAGAAATTATCAGCATAAAGACTTGTCTGTTGTCATGCATCTATCTCATTTTTTTTCTTAAAAATGCAGGAGGAGACACTGTACGCTGTTGTTGTGTATAGTATACATAAACACACCATCCAGATTAAATACTTTTTACCAGTGTATTTCATGTTTCTTTTTTCTCAATCATCCCAGAAAACTTTAATGAGGGAAATGTGTAAGAATTTGCAGATGGGCTTAGGTCAAAGCCTGGTTAATGTTTGTCACTGTTAAAAGTGAAGTAAAAAATTATTGGACCGTGTTGGTTCTGGATCTGCCATTGAAAAAAATAGTTTGTATGTGGGGTAGATCATGATCTGAGGCTGCTTTTTGTTCAAATGACGGGAAAAAGCAAGAGAAACCTGACACCCCTCCCCAGAAGAGGAATTACTATTTTGGTCATGGAAGTGTATTTGAGGAAAGAAGTAATGCTCCAGTGGGCAGCCGTGGCTGTGGGTTTATTCCTTTCAAATCCCTAGGCTGTCTTTTTCCCTATTCCTGGGTTCTAGGACTCAGTTGAAAACCATAGGAGGTCCTGAGAGGGAAGAAAGCAAAAGGAGAGTAAAATCTGCCTTTGTCTTCTGCGGAGTGCCATGACTAATTTATTTTTCATTGTTTACACAATGATTATGTGAAATTCTGAAAACTCTGAATTGTTCTTCAAAATCCAGTAATAAAGCATTACTAACTGTGCATATAGTAGTATGAAGTCTTCTCTTTTATTTTTAAATAGTAGATTGACTTCTAAATACATTTGCAATTCCTGTGCCCAAAAAGGGAAGCTGAATTTAATTTGTGGGAATCTTTTGGTAGATGAGGCTTAGTTTTCTTCAGCTGATGGTTCCTTCTCTTTAGATGACCCGTCCCTCATTCAAAGGGGTTTTCAGTGACCTCGTCTTACATCCAGCAAAGTAAGTTAAGCACAGCCTCTCTGTGGGTATCTCTGAGTCTTAACAGAAGAATCAGAACTAAGTATGGTCTCATCTTCTTTATTGTCAGGCACTCTAAATCTTTGCTTTACTTCATGCCTTGCATTGTTTCTAATGAAAGCATAAGCTGTTAGAATGGATTTAGGATATGGCAGCGATGATACTGTTCGACAGACTACCCAGGTTTTCTCAACCTATTTTGGCAGTTGGGTTTTCAGATACCTACATTACAGAGACCAGTTGACTTCTGAATGCTGGAGTTAAGGAGGCAACACTTCAGTGTCATAGGCATAAATTCTGTGACTATAAGCACTTGCAGAAAGGATAGCTTTGTATTTAAAGCAAGTGGGTTTGCATTTGTTTCCTCAACCTGGTGTTGGTGGTGGAGAAGCTTCTGCAGAAAAGTGAGGAGTCTGTTTCACAGGATGGGCTTTCGAGCCCTTTGAAAACTTGGCCCCAGGTGGTTTTCATTGGAATGGCAAATTCATATCTCAAAGAATGGCATTCAGGAACCTGCTGAACAGGCCAAGCTCTGCCCGCAGATTGCACGGGGATTTCTTAGGGCAGTTGAGCTATATTATATACAAGTGCCAGGAGGGTAGGGATCTCCCAGAAGCAGAAGGCGTGGTTGGACTTAAATCCTTCTGCAATTTCTGCTCGGCACTAGGGGCCGAAGCGCTGGAAAACTCTCTGCTGGTTTTCCTCTTGTGGATATATGCAAGGCTACTGGAGTGGCACCAGTTGGCTCTGGTTCAACTTCACTGGTACTTCCAGCAGCTTGATTTCCCAGTGCTTCATAGGGAACAACAAATGTAGAGGTATTTGCTTGGAGTTTTTATTCTTTTTCCCCTCTCAGTTGTGCTTCTACAGAGGAGTTGATGGATTTGGGTGGTCTGTGCAGAAGTATCACTATAAGAAACTATTACCAGTCATGCTATCAGTGCAGCAGAATTCATGATCTGAAGGTTGGGTTTCCCATTAAAGGCTTTGTGTGTAGCTAGTAATGTGTTATTTTCCAGATAAAATATGTGGAATGTGTTATAAACACTCTCTAGGCACCCAGATGTTTCAGCGTGCTTACTGCCAGTTTTTCAGAAATGCCACTTTCTGTACAAGGTATTTGCCTTTAGGAAGAAGGGTATGACATGAGCTTGGATGGGAGATCTGGAGGGGCTTATTTGTACTCAGGATTACTGGAACTGACATAAAGCCTTGCTGCTTTTCGGCATGTTGACAAAAGGAATCTTAAGCAATTTCAGAAACCTGCAGAACCTGCTAGATCTCTGCAGAACAAAGGTGAGAAAAGGCTTGTGCAGAAGCAACGTTTTACTTACACTGCTGCCTTTCTCTCCACAGCCAGTGGTTTAGTGTACTGAGTCAAGTCCATGCGTCCACTGAGCAAGAGATCCGAGAGATGCATGATGAGCAGGCAAATCCACAGAATGCTGTGGTAAGTCTAAACCCGAAGAACTTTTCAAAGCAACTGTTTTTAGAAAACAAGGAGTGCTGTGGTGGCCACAGCTTCTGCAAGTCACAACCTAGGTTTCCTTAAACGCGGTGCTAGCTGAGACACTGGCTAGAGGCTCCATGTCCTTGACCCTGTAGATATACAAGAGGAGAGTCTGATTCCTCTTCCATCATTCACTGTGATGAAAAATGAGTGTTAGTTTTGGAGGTGGTTTTTTTCTGGTCCAGTTCCCTGTCACACCACAGTGTACACTTGAGTTTGAAGTTCTGCAAAGATACGATTAATGAATAAATTAAAAACCCAAGAGTAGAAAATCTGAGATTTCTCTGGTCCTGCATTTATCATTCTGTACAACATACACTGGGAATAAATGGGATAAATTTGGAACCTAATATCAAAGAAAGGGAAATTAAAACTTCTGCTTAATGTCTTCAGAAGTTTGTTCCGAGAGGACGCCATTTATATTGGGATGGCACTTCGAGGTGAAAAATTCAAGCAGGTTTGGAAGCATAGACAAACGAGAGCAGTTTTTGAGCTGCCTCCAGCTTAACTAGGGGTAATCTTTCACTGGATCTATTTGTCTGAGTCTCTTAGTTTTCCCCTCAGCAGTTTTAATGGTCAAAAGAAACCGGTGCCCACATCTGCAGTTCATTTTGCTTGCTCCTTTCACCTGTGAGTGCTGTGAGTAACGTAATAGTAAATGTCTTCCTCGTCTTCTGGTTGGATTTTTGTTTATAGGGTACGCTTGATGTGGGACTAATTGATTCTGTCTGTGCGGCTGACAATCCAGATAGGTAAGTCAGAACCATGCCTGGTGACTTTCTTTTTCTCCTTTCTCTAGCCAAAATCAAATGCTTTATACTTCAGTCTCTATAATATTCTACTGACCAATGCATTGAAGTGATGCATTATTGCCTCCCTTTTCATAGTACTAAACACCATATGTTAAAACATGAATAGGAATGGTGGTGTTTTTTGTGGGGGCTTCACTACCTTCCCTGATGCTGCTTCATACGTGAACTGTTCAGCTACTGAAGTGATCCAAGAGTAGAAGATGACATATTTCTTTCATTTATACCGGTAATGCTCCTGAAAAGCAGCAGCTTATTTTTGAGTCCTTTAGCAATATAGTAGGCAGAAAAATTCATTTTAGCATTTTTCTGTTCAGCTTCTCATGCAAGAATGTTGCATTCTACAGGGATGAGAGTTATTTCCCAGAATAAATGTGTCTTACAGCAAAGACAACAATGCAGAATAAAAAATAACCATCAGGACATTCTTAGTTCTTGAACAAGTAACAACGTCTTGGGGGATAAAACGTAATCTGAGTTCAGGCTGTGACTCTGGTTATCAGGTTACTGGCTGTGAGGTATTATTTGTACTGTAGGAGTTCGTTCCAGTCTCCTCATTGCATGTGTGCAAAACAGCTGGGTTTAAGTTACTGGGTTGTCCTTGGCCTGCCAAGACACTGATACCACAAGTAACTGTGATTGTAAGCCCAGGTTTCCTAAAGAATACAACACAAGTGCCCAAAGCTTTCAAACTTTTAAATTAGAAAGGCATTTGTCCTGTAAGCGTTTTTCACTCAGATTTTTTTCTTTTTTTTTTTTTTTTTCAGTGATGGAAGGTTTTCCAGTTAGGAAACAAATTTGACTAATACAGGCAATAGATTATTTTTATCTTGACACGTATGAACCCTCTATTGCAAGCTCAAAAGAGAGAAGCTGAGCAGAGAGCCCTTTGAATATGTATTCAGAAAGAATTCCAAGAATGGGGTTTCTGTTACTTCCCTAAACTGGGGAGGAGGAGAGGGGAGCCTGGAAGGTTGGCTACTGTTGATCATAACCTCCCGTTTGATAGCCTGATCTACCTTGGTTTACACCTTAGCGCTCTCCTGTTTCAGTTCTTTTGCTACAGCTCATCTATAGCTTCTGTCCTGTATATCACATTATCCAGCTTTCTACAGTGCGCTTCATGTAGCTCAATCTAAAGCTGCCTCCTCTTCACACATATTAAAACACGGTCAACAGAATCCTTCTGTTCAGTTGACGTGCCCACTTGTTTCCTCATCCACCGCTCCTCCCGAGTAACACTTCAGCACCACCACAAGTGTGACCAAAATGTTGGATTCTGATCACTCCCTTACCCCCTTCTGTGGCACTGGTGAACACTGGCTGTAGGCAACTCTTAGAGAACTTTTAAGATAACTTACACACTTCTCATGTTACTTGATTTACTGCAACCTCCTTTCACAGTTTTCTAATTTTTCCTCTAATAATTTTACTTACTTTTTTCCTTACCCTGTTACCCATTTAGCTTTTACATGGGACACACTGGTTTTGGGGAATGGTGTCATATTTGGGTGAACCTCTCCATCCGCATAAACAATATTTTGATTGGTTCTAATTTTCTACCCAGTTACCTTCTTGCAAGAACTGTAAAAGGAAGGCCCGTGAGCTTCTCGTGCATGGGGTGGCCCAGACCGCATCGTTCCCACTCTCTATATCCGATACAGTTCTTAAAAACTCGGTGTTCCAGGATGAAAAAAATAGTGGTAAAGGGTTAAAGCAAGTGTTCGGAGGCTGAAAAACCTGCCTCTCTAATCCAGAGAGCCGTCAGTACAGTTCACTTGGGCTAGAGTCCTTCATGCCTCAGTGAATCCTGGTGCAGGATTGGGTAAAAGCCAGACTCTCATTAAAAATAAATTGTACTCTGCAAATTAGGTTGCACTGCATTAAAAATAAAAGAATCTGTGTTCACATGCTTCTTCGCTATAGACCTTTGTAAATTGTAGTTGGTTTTAGCTAATGTAACTACTGAAGCAGACACTCTAAATAGATCTGACCCTGAAACACAGTTCTGATTCACATCCAAAGTTGATTAAAGATCAGAGTTTTTTCTCACCATAGGTTTATCTTGAGATAGGACAAGTTGCAATTTGATGTAAATTTTCCCACCATTCAGAGCCCTAGCATTTTGGTGTGAATCCAACATAACGGAGCCTTTTCAAATGCTTAATTTTGGGGGGGTTTAGTGGTGTTGAAGTAGATGCTTTAGAGGTGGACAGTGTGTGTCTGAATAGCAGATGCAAACAATGGATGGTGTTTATGGTTATGGTGAGTGAGGTAAACAGTACGTATGTTGATTGTAAAGGCTTTTTCAAATCTTCATTTGTTTTCATAGACCCAATTCATTTGTGATCATCACTGCTAATCGTGTTCTTCACTGTAATGCTGACACTCCTGAAGAGATGCATCACTGGATAACCCTGCTCCAAAGGTCGAAGGGGGACACTAGAGTGGAGGGACAAGAATTCATTGTGAGGGGTAAGAACTGGGTGGGGCAGTAACAAAGTAATTAACGTCCCTGAAGAGGTTGTTCCCACAGTACAATCTGGGCAATATGCTATCATTGCATGGCAGTGTTGGAGCCTCATCTTTCTACAGTGGTGTTTACTCACAAATTAATACCACTGTAAATATACTCCTGCTATACCATGTAAGACAATACTGTAACGATGACAAAAGCATTTTTGTAAGTTGACAAAGTTGAAAGTTTGTAAGTTGACCGAAGTTGAAAAGATTTCATATTCATTTTATTGTATCGTTGCCATTTCATTGTTTGAGAATTTTACTCAAAGTTGTCTAATATGGGGGCTAAAGAATTCACATCGTATTTTTGTCATTGTTGAAAGTATACAATTAACTTTTAACAACCTAATTTTGTCCTTTTCTGTTCTTAACAGGATGGCTACACAAGGAAGTAAAGAACAACCCAAAGATGTCTTCACTGAAATTAAAGAAGCGTTGGTTTGTTTTGACGCACAATTCTTTGGACTACTACAAGAGTTCGGAGAAAAACGCTTTGAAATTGGGTACGCTGGTCCTGAACAGCCTCTGCTCAGTGGTCCCACCTGATGAAAAAATCTTCAAAGACACAGGTAATTGTTTGCTCTTGTTCAAATATGCTTTCAGTTGCCTTCTGTCCTACTACCTAGGTAATGCAACAAACAGTGCATAAGAACGTTTTAAATGGATTATTATGGTTGCGGTTTGATGAACAAGTCGAGTTCCTAAGTCACTGAGGCATTTTACAGGGAATTGCTGGGCAAAAAACAGAGGTAATAATGTATACAGGAGTAAATCTTGTTCTCAGCAACATTCAAGTTATTGTAGACTCACACTGCTGCTAAATTAGTGTGAACATGTATGCTTACACATCAAAGACCTGGGGAAAGACGCATGGGTAGCACTCTCCTCAGACATTATTTTATGTGCTGAGGAACTATGAGGGCTAACATTGGTGGAGCAAGTATAGGGAGATCTAGAGTAAGAGTCCAGTTTGTGCTAACCTACATACTACATGTGAGTCAGCTCCCCTGTGCATTTTCCAAACTGGTTTTCAGCTCGGAATTGGCTGTTTGCAAATGAGAAGCGACTGTTGACAGCCCTATATAATCTCACTGGGGTCACTGACACTTCAAAGAGGCTTTCGCTAGTGAAGGATGAAATACGTTTTCTCTAATTGAATCTGCTTCATAAAAAGCCTGTACAATGATGCAGAGAGAGAATTCGAACTGAAGTGCTCTTCCTGTCATAGTTGCCACGTCATTTGGTGTGACGTTAATGACTTTTTTACAGAAGAGGCAGTTCGTGCTTCATACCTGCGTGTACATGTGCTGCAGACGATGCAAGACCCTCGCATACAAAGCAAGGCTATCTCTGATTTTCCTCTTGCAGGCAGGAATGGAGAAGTAGAGCCCACAAGCCACAAGCAGCTAACAGTATTCCACAGTGTTGTCTTACGGTCACTTTTACTAAGATTACTGGATAAAATGGGAGGGTGCACAGTGGTGGTTGTACTCTGAGATTACTCCTAGGCTTTTTAAAAGGAGAGAATCTCCTTTAATACCATAGTGTATGTATTATGATACTTAATTACTCATACAACTTCTCAGTTCCTGAAAAACTGCCTAATGATCCACTCGAGGTCTGATGGGACCACAGTTGTTTTCAGATAGAAGTTGGGGTATTTTTATAGATACAGCTTCTGTGATTGATAATTTTTACTGTTGTGCTAGGTTATTGGAATGTCACTGTATACGGACGCAAACATTGTTACCGTCTCTATACAAAATTGCTTAATGAGGCGACTCGCTGGTCAAGTGCCATCCAGAATGTGATTGACACAAAAGCGCCAATTGATACTCCGACTCAGCAACTTATTCAGGATATTAAGGTAGGCAGAAACAGGAGGATGTGGGGTGCTTAAATGTTTGAAATTGGTCTATTTTTTTATGTTGGCTTTGCAATATGGTGTTAGGAAGCAGAAAAATGCAAGTTTTACTCACAGAATGACATGGACTGAAATTGCAGAACCTGAATGTATTCATTGACCTGATAAAGGAATTTCTATCTAAACAGTAAAAGAGCAAAGTATGAAGTGCAACTTGGAGGGCAAGAAGGATAACGTTTTTTTCCATGAAAACAGTAACAAGCTTTCCTGGTTTCTGTACCTTGGCATATGTTGCTATAGCAGGCAGTAGAGCACAGTGTGCAGGTTCAGGAGTTAGATCTGTTTGGCTGTGTCCACAGTGAGCAGCACACCAGGATGTGGACTAGACAGCTCCTGGGATTTTTTTCATTATGCTTCTTCCTTGTTCCGTGATAGCACAGGCTAAGCATCTCATGTCTCTGCGTGGTGAGAAACATACTCGATTAATGCTTACTGCTTTATGGTCCTGTTGGAGACACTGCATGCATAGCCAGAGAATGTATTATTTCTGGAGATGTTGCTAATCTGCTTTCAGGAGAGGGGATGATGATTCTCAGAAGAGACCAAAAAAAAAACCAGACAAAAAAAGATACCAAGTCCTAAATTCCAAGACTATGAAGGCTGTTCTTCAGAGCAGTAGAAATATGTGGAAGTTCAGGATTGATAGAAGACAGTGGTCACACATCTGTCAAGCTTGGCCTAGGAAAGAACGGTATTTAGATGTCAGGTGCAGCAGGTTTACAGCAGCCGGTTTTCTGGACTATTTTGTTATGGTAGCTCCTGTAGATTCTTACAGAAAAAGCCAATTAGTTATGCTGGAGAAATATTTTTAAATAAAAATTGAATACAGATGCCTTAATTCCAGTTATGAAATACTGGATTAAAACTGACTGTAAAATGAAATAAAAACACACTTCAAAAAATTTCATGAAACTTCATTTTTGTCTCCTGCAGCTCTGCGGTGCTTTGTTTTTTACTGCACAGATAAAGTTAGCTTATGCAAGGCCTGAGCTTAGCAGATATTGAGCATTCATGGCCCGCAGAGTGCTGTGGGAGCCACAGTACCCACAGCTGGATTTAGCAGCAAATAGTGTTGGTAACACTGGCGACAAATTTTTTCACAGCCAACCTAAAGGCACAAAGCAGTGCGTTATTGTTAATGCTGGACCCCAAATCCTTTTTTTTTCTTACCCCAACAGGAAAACTGCCTGAATGCTGATGTGGTTGAACAGATTTATAAGAGAAACCCTATTCTCCGTTACACTCACCATCCATTGCACTCGCCATTACTGCCACTGCCGTACGGGGACATCAATCTGAACTGTAAGTGTTTCAGTCATAGAAACACTTTTCCTCGTGAAAGACTAAACCAGAGGATGGGAGTTTTTAGTCAACAGGCTATAGTGCAGTAATGGTAGGCAAAACGTATTTTTTTATACAAATAGGCGTTTCCCTGTTCTCTCTCGGGAGGTAGAGAGTAGCAGTTTGTCTAGCGTAGAGCCATGGGCTTGTGCTGCTCCTGCATGGGCGTTACAGAAGGAGAGGTCGCTATTGCTGCTTCAGTACAAGTTCGCTGCCCTCGCCAATGCAATTAAGACCACCCAGTTTGAAAAACCTAGCACTGAAATAAGCAACTAAACCAAATTCATTTTAGTTTCCTTGAATCATACTCTCCTTCTCAAAGTATTGTTGCTTCCTACTTCCTGAGGGGAGCTGCAGCAGCCACAACTTCCAATTAACAACAAATGTAAGTTTCATCAGTTGTGATGGGAAGCATTATTTATGTGAAACAAGATTTGAGTGGACCTTACTCTTAAAAAGTAATGGGTCATTTACTCCTGAAACAGGTGTAATCATGTCTCTTAATAGCCTCAGCTCGATCACTGACTTAGAGGTCTATTTTGAATGAATGGTTCAGAGTTATCGATGGTGGTGAATTCGGTGTCCTTAAGTGGATTTGCTTACCTTATTTTGCAACTGCATATTAAACAAGGTATGACTCAGATCAGAAGCTTCATCCTTGGAAGGAGGGTGGGAGGTCACAGTTGATTAAAAGCCAAAGTATTTCAGGTAAGACTTCCCAGTATCTCAAGTGATATCCTTCTGCTCGAGTGACAAGGAAAAGGAAAATCCTAAGAGAAACCTTTTCCTTCTCTTCCTCCTCCTCCTCCTCCTGCACAGCGGCAGGGCACGGTTCTGATCTTCTCGGGACATGAGCTGGGTGTCCCATGGCAGGAGTGCAGCACAGTTGCTCTCTGTGCCCCCCGGGCAGGAACGGCTAGCTCCTGCTGAGGCAGAAGCCTTGCCAAAGTCTTCCCATGCTAACTGAGGCTTCGCAGATGGACCAATGCTCAATTACTGCCTTGACTTGCAGCTGAGTTCTGGCTATTTTCTATAATAGCATAATGTCAGGTTAGAAACCTCATATTCATAGGAGACGTCTGTACTGTTTTGTGCTTTGATGGTTAGTACGCCAAACTGATTCAGACATCAGAGCAATCTCTTCCATCTCTTGAGCCCCAGAACTGCATGGTGCTTTCAAGTAGACTGTGAAAGCTGTCGGCCCACGCTGAATAACCTGTAGTACAAAAACAACCACCACCTTTTCCAGCACTCAAAAAGAAGGTTGCAGTTGCATGGCAATGGTTTAGTTTAGCAGTATTGTTTGGGTTTAATTGAAATGCAACTGCCATAGACAAAAGTGATGCCATGTTATTTTTGTCACTTTCCATAACACAGTCACGCTTTACCTCACTTATGATCTGATTAGTTTTTCACTTTCTTGTGACAGCGAAAAGTGATAGACACTTCAGCAGTGTGGATTGCTCTGGAAGGAAGATTCTCCATCAAAAAAAACGATCAAGCAAGATACGCGTTTTATGTTACATTGTCAGAAAATGTCAGGATGGGATTTCATTAAATTCAGATCAAATCTCAGTAGCAAAATAGCTCATAAAATGAGTTGGCATCATACATTTGAAATAGAAAAAATCCACTCTAATATCCTGCATAATAAGGGTGACAGAATAGCATTAAGCAATTCCTATGTTAAGCCTGAGTGCTCTCTCTTTCATATCTCAGTCTAAGCACCTTTCTTGCTGTTTTTCTTTCGTAGTGCTGCAAGACAAAGGCTACACAACTCTGCAGGATGAAGCCATCAAGATATTTAATTCTTTACAGCAGCTGGAGTCTATGTCTGACCCCATCCCTATAATCCAAGGTATCCTCCAAACAGGACATGATCTACGACCTCTTCGAGATGAGCTCTACTGTCAGCTCATCAAGCAGACCAATAAAGTGCCTAACCCTGGGAGCGTGGGGAACCTCTATAGTTGGCAAATACTCACCTGCATGAGTTGCACATTTCTGCCGAGTCGCAGCATCCTCAAATATCTCAAGTTCCATCTCAAAAGGTGAGAAGCTTTCAACTACTGGAGCAAGAAAAGAAGTTTCTTCGCTCACTGTTTTCTTCCCCACCACTTGTAACAGTCTTGCAGTGAGACTTGAAGATGCATTCACTTTGTGAACTGGTTATGCCAAACAATGAATCTAAAAAAAAGTGGTGCAAGAAAAGCGTGTATTGGTTGATCTAGGTGGAATTACTCTCATTTGAAGAATCAAGCAAAATCCCGCTAAACTGAATGCATAAGTTTTTAACATTGACTAACGCAGGGGCTTTCTGTGATTGTCTAAAGTTGCTTAAATGACTTGCAGCCAGTACCCCCCGGCCCCATTCTCAACTGTCCAACCTGTTAAAAATTCTTCATCCTGCTTACTTTAGTTTTATCGTGCACATAAAAGAACAGTAGAATGTTTACACATGTGTTTGAGGTAGAAATGTCTGTTTGCAAATCTAGTTTTAAGATATGAGTGACGATTAAAAAAAAAATAAATCCTTTTTGACAGTTCAGGACTAACCAGAATGCAGAGTTACTCTGGCTGTGGTGCAGCAGAAGAATGCAAAGAGCGTGTCAGTGGGAAACTTAGTCCACTAGCAGCTACAAACTGTTCTCAGTAATTTAAAAGTCATGTCTGTGTTTGTGCTAGAGCATGGACTTTGCAAATCACTTTCCTAATTGTAATTATTTTATAAATATTTGTAAAAAGCTTCTGTTGAAGATACACCTTTCAACCAAAGTAAGATTAGTAAAACACATCAGTTACTTTCTGTGACTGTTCAAATGAAAAAATCCAACATTGATTCACTTTCTCAATTTAACTCAGCTAATAAACTGGTCTCCCAGTTAAAAAAACTGCAGCTGATACAACATGTGTAGGTTGGTTTCAATATTACAGATGCATAGTCATCTTACAGCCTTGCTGTAATCCTGCAGTAATCTTTTTATGCTTTGTAGATCATGAAGCACTGTGCTTGGTATCTCTAAAATGCCAGTATTTTACCACTGGAAATATTAAAGAAACACTCTGTGCTGAAAGCTGCCTGGATTCAACAGTTTTCAGTAATTCCAAGTTGAGTTCATTGAAGTTATTAGCGAATACTCCTAATACTAACTGCTGAACAGTAAGGTCTAGAGAAAATCTTTAAGAAAAGCAGGA